GCATCTATGCTTGGACAACAAGCTGGTTTATCAATACCACCACCTCCCGTATCGAGAAAGTAAGTGTAGATATACATAAAAAACAATGGAATAAGTTTCCAAAGACGTTAGGCATCCAAAACATGACGATGAAGGATATTTAAAACTTCGGATGTCGTTACATCGAGGGCATCGCGATGGACATATCTTTTGCTTGCATAAAATGTCGAATTTTCTGCAAGATTTCATAAGCCTTATGAGAAAGTGTGACAGAGGGGTTTGTTGCGGTTTTACCCAAGGGAAATGACGTACTCTCATTGCACTCTAGAGTGTATGGGAGTACGCTGTTTCTATGTTGGATTTTACTTCGGCTTCTAACAAATATTCAGACGAAGGCATGTTTCGTCATATAAAATATCATAGAAATTTGATTTCAGTATATCGTGTTCGGTTTGTACTAGAGAAACGATCGAAGGTATTTTCTGAAAAACAATCAGGAACTCTGACTACTAAGGATGGATATTTTCATTTTTTCGGAAGTTTCCGTCATTTTCTACGAATCTTCTCAAAATGTGAAGTGAGCTTCTTTTGAATTAAACACTCTGGTAACGACCTATAGATTGCACTAAATTTATCTCTGTCGATTTTCGTAGATGAAAGTAATTGTTTTATCAGTTCGAATCTCCAGAATCCATTTTACTATTTCTTATAGCCTAGAATTATCGTTGTGAGTGTCTAAACGACCGATCAGTCCATATCTAAGCAACTTGTAACATATTTCTAATACGAGTAAATTGTAATATATCGGTTTCCAGAGAATATGATATAAACTAAAGTTTTTATTCTGCTTCCAACAGTCTAAATCTTTATCAAACAAGAGAATCACACAAATTGATATTCACCGTTTAAGCACATATTGAATCCTATTTATGATCGTTTCACTGAATTTTCGGTCTAGCATTAGACATATACCGAAAAATTGAAAAGGAAAACTGCGACATGAAAATTTCAGTCGAACAGAATGGTTTTCTATTTATTGAGACATTGAATTTTCAAGTAAAGTCGATTTTTGTATCATACATACTACTCGACTTTAAAGATTCATGGGTGTAAATTTCTCGAGTCTTATTGAGAGCTCAAATGATGAGTATAAGTTCGATTGATTTCCTTATAAATATCTTCAATTGTAATTGAGAATATTTAATTATTTATTATAGTGGAGTTCCAGCATCAATGGTTAAAAATGCTGCTGGTCAAAGTCGGCATAGTTTACCATCATCATCATCAATGAGTAATGCTACGAAATTACCTCTCGACATTGGAATCAGTGGAATGGATATGCCATTAGTGGCAGCAAAAAAACGTGGTCCTGGTCGACCACCTAAAACTCAAATGTTATTTGATGCTCATCAAATTTTACAAGCAACACAACGGCTAAATTCACCAACAAATAATAATAATTTTCCTCCAACAATGGTTCC